CCGGCAGAGGCGATTTGCGAAGCGTGTTGGGTTGCGACGTTCCAGCCTGTGGCTTCGCAGCAGTTTATGCCGACGGAAGTCAGGTTCGCACGGTCGAGTGTGGGGCGGAGGACTTTGATGAACTCGGCGGCTTGGGTGCCGGATGATTGCATTGAGGCGTACGAGGTGGATAAGTCGGGCTCGTTGAGGAAGCCAAGGTGTGTTACTTTGACGCCGGCGGATGCGTAGAAGTTGATGTATGCGACGAGGTAGTTCGCGTAGGCTTGCTTCCAATCTCCAGAGCGGCAATTGGTACCAGAGACCTGGGGCAGGTTAGCGGACGCGATGAGGGGACCTCGGGGACGCACGTACACCACAGAGCTGGCCGCCGTTGGTGTCCTGGTTGTTTGTCTTCATGCATCCAGGCGCGCTCCATGCATTCGCATAGAAGGTGTTGACGCTATATTCTTGAGCTCTCTGGCTGAGGAACAATTGTCCGCTATCCTTAGCATCCCAGACGTACCCGCTGTAGTTCGTAGTGACTTCCGCTGGTGTGTTTGGGCATTTGGGAAGGATCGTGTTCATGAAATCGCTGTTGCTATTGGGTGTGGAGCCAATACCGTTGCGCACGATTGAGAAGCCAGCGCCGGTGGTCGTGTTGAAGAGTAGATCGAGAACCTCGCGCTGTTTGGATTGCTGCAGATTGACGATGAGGTTTGCGCGCTGGAATGCGCCTGAGAAACCGAAGCCGTCGATCGTCTGGTATCTCTTCGTCAGGTCGATGGTGACTTTCTGCTGCGCTTGGCGACTTTCCAGAGAGACTGCCAAAGTGACATGCGATATGGCCGCAAGGACTGCAAGATGAGATAATGCGAAATTCATGATGCCTTCAATGATTATGGATTGAGGACGGCAACGGAGAACATATTGCTGAATTATACACTGCGGTTAACGTGTGGGGCACAAACAGGCTGGTCATCGTATCGTTCAATCTGCATTCGGCGCAGATCTCATCAGTATCGTATGGTGATTTGCGGGATCTACATTATCCCGTGTCTTCCGATCAAGGCTACTATATACACTTCGTATCAGACATGCGGAGGACTCGTACCCCACGATTCCCTTGCGCCGAAGAGGCTGAGCATGGATTTAGCCGACAAGTCTATTCCCACAAGCTTGAGCACGAGTGTGGAACTCGAGGACAGCTTCTCCACTGCGATCAAGTGTCATGAACAACACCGATTTAAAGTTATTGATCTAGCTCGTAGTATGCTAGCTATACTTGCTACGCTCGCGGAAGGACAGTGGAAAAGTTACACACAATCGACAGCAATCAACCCAACCATCCGCCTACTCCTGGCGCTTGGGAGTAATACCGCGACCTGCGCACAAACATGGCCGGCCGCTTGGGCCGATCTTGAGGAGCTGGTGGTACATCCAAAGCAACCCGCTTCGAAGCCGGTTCCTGGCGTTTGTCTTCCGCTACCCCGTCCTCTGTCTTTACCGAATGAATAGAGTGCGCCTTCGACTCAGACTGCGGTGTCTTTCCTTTCCCCAAATTACCATTCACCTTCTCCGCCGTAGTCCAAGAAGCATTCATACAAGTAAGCAACGCGTAAATCTTAACAAACGCATGCAAATGACCAAACAAAAGATACGCGGGGAAATACACAACATCGCGTGGATACTTGCGAAAATGTTCCAGAATCTTGACAAACTTGAACGACAAGATCCAGATCGTGAGCGCAGATGCGCTGATAGGGAAGTACTCAGCCTTTCCGTACTGCTTCAGGGAACCACGAAGCGTCATGTACATACACGATTCCTGTGTGAGCGACTGACGGAAGAACCACATGAGCAGACTCCAGCTCATAAAGGGATGACGCACCCACGTCAGCCTACCCATCAACTGCGCGGGGTTATTGCGCCACGTCGTTCGAGTCCAGCGAAGCACTTGACTCATGAACTTGGGCCACTCGCCCAGTTCCGTCGTCATGACGCTATCAGGCCCAGCTTGCAGACCCATTTTCCAGTCATGTTCAATCAGCCAGCGGGTGTGGAACTTGTCGTCATCGGAGTTTAGAGGCTCGGTCTTGAAAGGCATGTACGAGTTTAGGTATCCGTTGAGGAACTCAGGTGATGCATAGATAGTCGTGCGGAAGACGCCGAAACGGCCTGGTAACGTTGAGAGGCCGCGGTCGATGCCGTAGGTGCCGCGGTACTCGTAGGAACGGCGCATCAGGTAGGTCATGCCCATGAAGTTCCAGAATCCGGGCCAGGAGAAGGGGTGTCCGCGGTGCCGAGCTTGCAGGTCAGCGCTCACAGCTCCGACTTTGGTGTCTTCGAAAGGTGCGATCACGGAAGCGATAAACCGCGCGGATTGGGGCCAGTATGTGTGATCGTCCTGGAGAATGACGAGCCGCGTTTCGACTTGCTTGAGTGCTTGTGCTGTTTGTTCCCGGCGGGAGGCCTTGACGCGATGGGCCACCACGACCTTGCTCTCTGGGAATAGAGCTCGGAAAGAGCGAAACTGTTCTGCGGCTTGTGTGCCGGCGGTTGCGATGATGAGCTTTGGTACACGTTGGTTGAGTATGGAGCGGACAACGTGATGCAGTGTTACGGACATGAGGTCTGTGGTGGGTATGATGACTGTGACATCGTTGATGTGGTATGTGGGGTTGAGCGGTATAGGTGTAGGCCGGTATCTATAGGTGCCGTATAGACTAATAAGAACGCGGGTGTAGCGAAGAAGAAAGACGAAGAGAAAGCATATTGGGTAGATGTTGCGATGTAGAGACTGGTAGATGGGCCACTCTGTCTGGCGGGTCGACAGGTACAGTAGAGGCATCTTTAGGCTGTGGCTCGTCTCTGGCAGTAGTGCGATCAACGCATGTGTTTCAGGAAACGGATCGGTGAGAGTCATCGTGAGCAGAGGCTAGATTCGCTAAGAATCCTGACTATGGAGATGCTATAAAGAACAAGCGAAGGATGATGCAGTAACAAAGCGTTGTGGTAGAGTGCGTTGCTCATATCGAGACAGCGCAGGGAGTCCTTTATATCGCAAAGAATCATGGAAGAGACAGCGAAGTAGGCTGTGAGTATATGAGTAGTTACAGTGGTGTATTTGTGTCTGCTAATCAGCGCATATAGAATAGAGAGAAGGACGGCGATAATAGAGCGATCGCATTTGGTATCGTTGTTGTGAAGCAAGAAAACACGTGAGAGCCCCCTACTCACACAGCGACCCATTCGTACGGCGGCAACTTCGAATCATCCGGCTTGTCCTCCGGCAACAACTTATACGCTTTCGTCTTGCAGAATGTCCAGGCGAGTGCGTCGCGTAGCCTTATTGCCCAGGCAGTCTGAGGGAAAGCGAACTGAGGGAAGCCAGGCGGCAAGTCTGCACCTTGACCTTGGACCTTGCGGTACGTCTCTTCGTAGCGCTTAAGCGCAGCTGGGATATCGTCGGTGGACTTTATCTTGCCGAGTTCGCCTGCGAGGAAGTATGCGCCCTCGACAGCGAGGGTAGTGCCAACACCGAATGTGGCGTGGGCTGCATCGCCAAGAAGAACAGCACGATTGTTCGTCCAAGTAGGAAGCTTGACGTACGCTGAGCGGCTCATATAGAAGTCGTCGCATGCGTCCATGCCGGCGAGGATCCGCCCAGCTTGCCACCCCGCATCGTCGAGATACGTATGAAGGATTTCTTTCTGCTTCTCGGGACCGCCCTCCATCGCTGCTTCGACGAGGGGATCGTAGTGTCCATGTGCTGGCGTTGTGATGATGACGTAACACCCAATCGTCTTGCCGTTGCGATGCGGTCGCGTCATCAAGCCTCGGCCTTTTGGTGCGTTGTACCAATACCAGTGCTTCGTGTCTGAGTCCTGGCGGGGAATGCTGAAGTACGCGACGTATTGCCCGATGAAGTTGTAACTTCCCTTGAGCGTCTCTTCATCCAGGATAAGGGAGCGGATTCGTGACGCTGAGCCGTCTGCGCCAACGATGAGGTCGAACTTGTCTTTTGCTCCACTGTCGAAGGTCACGTCCACCGACTGGTCTGTTTGTTGTACCGCTGTGACGTAGTCGCCGTACACGTATTTCACATTCTTCATACTCTTCGACGCATCCAAGAATAGGCCGCAGAGATCTGATCGCAGGATCTCATACTCGGATGTGAAGCCGCCTTTTCCGAACTCGGCGACAATCTTGCTTTGTGCGTTGATCAGGCGTGTGCCCTCTTCCGTGGTGTTGCGTGCAAGTACGCTTGGCAGGAGGCCCATCTTCTCGACAATGGAGATGGCTGGACCGCGAATCTCGATGGACTGGCCGGTGGGCCGAGGGAATGGCGAGCGTTCTAGAACGGTGATGGAGGCATTCAGACCTGTTCTGGCGAGCCAGTAGGCGAAATTTGATCCTGCAATGCCAGCACCGTTGACAAGAACTCTGAGTTGGGGAGCTGTTGCGAGAGACATGGTTCTGATGAGTCGTTTGGCGATGATGTGTTGAGGCATCTCGATGGACGCGACACACGTTACTTATATACCTTGAAGTGGTGATGCTCTTGCATCCAAGGCGTCCAAAGCTCAGCCTTGATGCGCTGAGGCACGCCTGACCCGAGATCAATCTGGCCCGAAATGCGTGAAACCCGAGCCTAGTGGCACACACATCGCTACGATACGCACGTAGGTCGACGAGCTTATCGCAAATAAGCACTGGCTAATGCGCCGCACCGACATGGTGTGAATTAAGGTATGTTGTCGTGCTCCAATAGTATCGGAGCAAGAGTGCTGCCTGGCAAGCGGTGGGCGGTTGGGGGCTGGTGGTTGTCGCTGGGGCCACCCGTCTCTCCGCCATGCCCACTTCGAGACAGGCGGGAATACGTAACTCCCGAGCTGCGATGCGAGCGCATCGTATCTAGGAGTTCTGGGTTAGCATGATGCAATGACGCCACAAAGACTGTAACCCTCTTCCTCACGTCCAAGTATTCCGTCCAAACCTGTACACGCCAATCTACAATCCTTATGATGGCGCGCATTCTCATCACAGGCTCTTCCGACGGTCTCGGATCGGCCGTCGCCCAGCGTCTCGTTGCAAATGGACACTCCGTTGGTATCTACGACCACCATCCCTGAACGACATCCACGCGCTGACGCACCGCAGTCCTCCACGCGCGCAACGCCCAACGCGCAAAAGACGCCACAACAGCATGCCCAGGAGCCGACACAGTTATAACAGGCGACCTATCCAGCCTATCCGAAACCAAAAACATGGCCAACGAAGTCAACAAGCTGGGAGCCTTCGACTGCGTAATCCACAACGCCGGCCTATACCAAGGCCCATTCCGCAAGACGCACGAAGGGATTCCCGCCTTAGCAGCCGTCAACACCGTCGCGCCATATGTACTCACCGCACTAATCACGCGTCCCAAGCGCCTGATATTCCTCTCTTCGGAGATGCATCAATCGGGTTCACCTAGTTTAGACGATGTTCTCTGGCAGAAGCGTGGCGAAAGCGGATACAGCGCGAATGCGGCTTACTGCGCGAGCAAGCTGCACAATGTCTTGCTTGCCAAGGCTTTCGCTCGCAGATGGCCGGATGTGAAGAGCAATGCGTTGGATCCGGGTTGGGTGGCTACCAAGATGGGTGGCAGTTCGGCGCCGGGGAGCGTGGATGCGGCGGTCGAGAGCTATGTTATGCTTGCTGAGGGGGAGGAGGAGAAGGCGAAGAAGAGTGGGTGTTATTTCCATCCGAGTAAACGGGAGGGTACGCCGCATAAGGCGACGGAAGATGAGAAGGCTCAGGACAAGCTGCTGGAGATTTGCGCTGAGTTCTCTGGTGTGAAGCTCTCATAAAGTCCTTTACCGAAGCATCTCGGGCGACATTGTCGGGAGCGAATGGACTACACTGCCCATGAAGCATTACTACCAACTATCATAACATCATCACAGACCGCCAATCCATCCCCCATCTACTTCTCCTCCAGCAAGCCCTCTCCAGTCACCCTCCTCTCCCAAAGAAACTCATAATCCGCCATCGCCCTACTCACAAAATCCTCCAAATCCGCCGCAAACTCCTCATTCCACTCGTCCACCCACTTCTTCCTCTCCACCTCCATCGTCAACCCTTTGGCTTCATAGCCCTTCTTAATCCCCTAACCTAAGTCAGTATACATCTCACAAGCATTCCGTACAACAGCCGCGACGTACCTTACTCGCGTTAATCGTACTCAAAAACCTCGCCATCAATGGATTATCCTCAATTTTCTTCTCCTCCCACTCGTACTGCACGGCCTCGGGGTCGAGGCCACATTGGAGGCACAACTGGCGGACGGCAAGCGGGTTGTTCATGATGTCGTCGGCGTCGATGATGCGGGGGACGATGCCTGAGGTAGCCTCCCTCTCCGCGTACCACTCATACAGCGCTCTTGTATACTTGAGAGTATACGTGGTGCATGTGTACAACGAACGGGGTTTGGTGAACATGTCTGGAAACGAATCTTTCTGCGCGCGCAGCATGGAGGGGAACATCAAAATCGGATGCCGGATTTGGAAGATGGGTTGGAGGGAGAGGAGGAGGCTGTCGGGGACGGAGGTGGGGTTTGTGTGTGGTAAGGAGGAGGAGGAGGAGGAGGGGGAGGCATTGCGTGGGTGGATGGTTAGGGCTGGGGGGTTGTCGTTGGGGTAGACGGTGGAGAAGAGGCGGTCGGGCCCGGAGAGGAAGATTGTGTGTTCTTTTACGAAGGCTTGTTTGTTCTGTTGGATGTTTGTTAGTTGGGTGTTGCAGATGGGGATTGTGATAGTGAGGAGTGGGACGGGCCAGCCCGAGCACGTCATCTCGAGGGCGGATCACGACGGGCGCATGTGCGGTTGTGGCGCAGCCTTGCCTTGTAACTTTAAACCCCACATCTCGACTTCATCTCTTCCTTCCCTACTTACATTCTTCGCGCAATCGTCCAACTCGTCCTCCAAGCTGCCAAACGCCGTTTTAAACGTCTCATACAACCCGTTTCTCTCCTCCTCAGGCCATTCGCTCAGCGGCCCCTTCTCTAGATTCATCAGCGTAGCAAAGCCGCCGTCAAAGAGCTTGTAGCCAGAGTTCTGGTAGCCGGGCTGCTTGGACATCATGGTTTGGAAGAGATTGGACGCTGAGCGGGGGTGCGTGAGGAGGTAGACTCCGCGGCGACCGGGGGGGATGGCATTGGGTTGGGGTGTTTGGAGTGTACCTGGCATGGTCGCTTGCTTGCTTGCCTGCCTGCTTGGATGTGGCAGGTAGGTTGGTATGGAAGAAGAAGAAGAAGAGTCTTGATAAGATGATCGATCTATCAAGCAGAGAGAGGGAAAAGAGCAAGGCGAAAGAATTACCGACGGCAGAAAAGAGCTGGCTATCGCAAACAACTTATGCGCTTGCGGACGAATACACCCCGTCACTTGTACCTTGTATGAGGATCATCACGCTGCAGTACAGCGGGCTACCGACTGCCCGCCCTACCCAACGGTCTCACCTCCATGGTGTATCCACTTGCGGTCTACGGCGACCGAGGAGTCCGAAAGAGCGGAGCAGATAAAGCGCTGCAAGGCGATATGGCTTTAGGCTGTGGCTGCTGTCCAGGCTACGGCATGGCTACGTCCACTAAGCGTCGCATACCAGCCCCGCACAAGGCGTAAAGTGACTGCAGTCGCCTCGCGCCAGCGGCCGACAGACCGACGTTACACTATCGGCCGAAGTATACGCATGCAGATCCGTGCAAGCATACGCACTTCTAGTATGTACGACCGCTACTTTCGTACATCAGGCAAAGTCAGGCGATCTCGGTGGATATTGTGTAGTAACAAGCTGGGATTATGTGGGGGTATCATGGAAAAATTATCTTATCAATCAATCTGATCAAAATCAATCGCCGAGATATATGCGAGACCTTTTCTGAGCAGTGATCTTCGCCTGTTGCAACTCAACTCCACCAGCGCTTTGTTCGATCGCGTAATGCGCGACTGTGAATGCGAATGCCGAGGTCGGCATGCTTCAATCTAGACGCCTGACATGCTCGTGTCTTGTAAGAGACTGCGCGCGTGCATACAACCCCTACCCCGTCGACCAGAAATTGCCCTTGTTCGCATCGATCGGAGGGGCGCGCCAGGATAGTGAAGCACGCGGCAGGTTCGTGCGGTCCTCTGGCGTAGGCAGAGCGTCGTTGGTACCGCGGTAAGCGTGGAAGAGGGTATTTCCTGCATGGTCTATGCATCAGCGTTGTGAAGGACAAGCACTGACTCATCCGCGACTATGCTTCAGCCCTCCTTCCCACCCTGCTCATGCTCCTTGTCCTGTTCGTGCCCATGTTCGTGGTGCCCGTTGAGATGCAGGATCCGCTTCATGCCGTCTACACTCTTCTCCAGATGGGGGTGTCGGGCTATGAAACCTCCATGATGGCCGTTGGATGGAGTACCGGTAATAGTGCGCTTCTTACCGGCAAGAGGGTCAACCGCAGCTACCCTTGGAGGCCACTCATCCGAGTCTTTCCAGCCTTGTACCAGCGCCTTGGTCATGTCTGCGAGGTTGATGGGGACCGAGGGCGTGCGCGACGAGACTACGATCTTCTGGAAGATGTCGCGGTATGCTTTGGGGGTGATGGAGGCACGGATCGGGTTGTCCTCGAGGAGACGCGGCGCGACGGGAACGAGGTCGAAGGTGTCGGGCGTGGCGCTGGTGATGGAGTGCGATTCCGAGCCGGTGGGTGTGACGGCGTGCTCTTCGGACGAGTAGCCTGCGGCTGAAGACGGGCGGTTGGCCTGTCTTTGGCGGTTCGTGCCGTACTTCTTCACGCTCGCTGCGCCCGTCCACACGTCTCGTCGCTCGACCCAGATCCTCAGCCCTTCGTTGTCTTTCATCTCGCGCTCCAGCCTCTCTCGACGGCGCCTTCTGCGCGCTTCTCTCGTGCTCGCTACCGCATCGCCGATGCTCTCTGGGTTGTCAAACCTGTACGGGCCGACACCTTCATCTTCTTGATCCGAGTCTCCAGATTCCGACTCGCCGTAGTAGCGCTCGCGAAAGTCGGCAGCGTCGCGCACCTCTTCGTCCGAGGCTGACCAGATGGCGGGCACGTCGGGGTACTCCCAGTCATTGCGCAGGCGCTCGTCGAGGTAGCGCCGGGAGGCTCGGGCGGCGCTCAGGTTGTTCTCCATGGTTGAGGCGTGAGTGCAGCGCTGATCGCAGATGTGATGGGCAGAAGAGTGGGGAACTGCAAGCGGGGACCAGGCTGACTGTCAGACCCCAAGGTTGGAATTGCCCAACTTCCAAGCCCAGATACCAAGACTAGTGACGCACGCGATTATTGGGTTGATCACCGTCGCGCAGACGTCAAACAATATCGCAAACAACTATCGTGCGTTGTGCTGCGGGGTATTCTGTACAATCTCGAAAAGATCAGACGGTCGTGGAAGCGGGTTGAGAGTGGGTTTGCGAAAAGAAAGTAAAACCGGCAGTGGCCGCGATTAAGAGAGTCAAGGGCAAAGACAATGCGACAAAGCTTGAATGGGCTTTGCGCTGGCACTGGCGCGAAACGGATCGTTGACGTCGACCGCACGCAAATGCATGCAGGGCAGAATGGCGGGGCGCCGTACTTTACCCAGCCGAGCAAGCGTCACATCACACCCACGATTTGTTGGCATCATAGAATCACTGAGTCGACAATTTTGGGGACTATCGTGAACTTGCGAGCAGATTGGTAGATGTGAGTAAATGTAGACTTTGGTGGCCAACATTTCTGTACAATTTCACGTTTACCAGATGTCTTCTTCACGGCTCTAGTCATTTCATTCAGAGTAATTGAGTCGGATTATTACGAGACGAGCGCGCACACAAGAAGAGAGACAAGTCCCACTACCTCCCCTCCGCCGCCTCCTCCTCCTCTCCTCCCCAACCCACCCAGGCATGTGGTTCGTGATGCCGTGTGGGGACACTTTGTTCGCGAATGGCGAGGGGAGTACGTAAGTCAGAGCTGTTCTGTCGCAGGAATGTCGTAGTACCTCATGATAGGGAGTTTGGTCTTTGCGAGGCTGCTGTCCCGTGGGTCGTGTATCTCCATCGGTGGTTGTGTGGAAGTGGTCGTAGTGGTGGTTTCCAGAGGGAGCAGAGTGCCAAAGTGAACAAGACGAGGATGATGATAAAGATGACAGTGAAGGGATCCATGGTACGGTCCGAGTATGGTATCATATGCTTTTGGATGTAGCGAGAAAGACGTCGCGGATCCGACGCTGTTATATGCCAGTCCTCGCGGGATGGACCACATTCAGATGTGTGTGCTCTGAGCTCATCATCCTGAAGCCTCGAGAGTTTATCGTCATGTGTCGACCGTAATAGGTCCTACTCGCGAGATACTCGGTATTGAGGTTGCGCGTCGTGTGTCGAGTATTCGCACCTTTGACCCGAAGGGGCTTAACGTAGGATTCCGGAGTTGTCAGGCTGGTTTGTGGACTGTGGGCGCCGAGCTCGCCCAATCATAGATAACATGACACATCGGTATCGGATAGAGGATGAGTGTGTCTTTCAGACCATACTATCAGGTTCTTTCTTTCGTTCGTGGGAAGCTGAGGACGGAGGCATCGGTGGTGCTGGTGAGGGCTGTAGTGGTGCTGCACTCCAGAGAGCACAGAGTAGCATGGTAAGGAGAATAAAAACAACGATAATGATAGTGAAAGGATCCATGTCTACGGTTTGTGGAATCAAAGATTGAGGAGTGCGTAGAATTAAACGGAGGAGTTCTGATCTCAGATTCGAGTTATGCTGCGGCATGCTACTTGATGAAAGGGGCGCTGAGGACAGATGAACACGACGCATCTCGGTTGACTCGGTCTTGTTC